TGGTTTGAGAAAAAAGTGAAACCACCTAGTTGCTTCATCAAAACCCTGGGAGTTAATCTCGATTCATCTCTCTGATTGGTTTAGATCTCGACAGTCTCTTGCATGTTTATTTTATTCTTTGAAAGGCCGTGGGAAGACTTCTGGTCACCACAGCGGCGTGGGCGGGCATGGCTGTGCTCTTCGCAAACCGCGTAAAAATTACAACTAAAACACAGAACAGCCGTCACTGGGAACTGTCAGAAACCAAGTGGAGTGGAAGTCTGACAACTAGGAAATTAAAGAAACCACATCCATCAGGACTGGTGGGGGGGGGGTGCAGACACAGAACGGGCTGGTCCCACACACACGTGTGGTGGGTAAGAATTCAGGAGGGGTATCTTGGGACCAGGGCGTCCCAGCCCCACACCAGACTCCCCAGCCCAGGGTTCCAGCGCCAGGAAGATAAGTCCCCACAACTTCTGACTGCAAAAACCAGCAGGAATTGAGTGGATGGAAGAAACTTCTGGAGCCCCAAGCAGTTACTCTTAACACAGGAACCCACACACAGACTCACCTGTCAGCCTCACTCCCTCTGAGCTCCAGCACTGGGCGTAGCAGCTTGAAAGGCACCAGTGGCACACAGGGAGGAACTGAAGCGTCTGGCATCAGGGTGAGCAGAGGCCATTGTCCCTTTGCTAAACCTTCCCCGCACAGAGACCGAAAGCTGGTGCCATAACCGAGACTCCATCAACCTGGCTAACACTGTTTGACCCACCCTGGAGACCCCCAGAGGCTCTGCCCCACCGGGGCCCACCCTAGCTGCTTTTCCATGTGAATGGCTGGTCTTGGCTCCTGCTGCACAACTTCCTACATCCTCTCAGACAAGCCACAGCGGCCTCAGTGAGGCCCAGGCCCGGCACTAGCAGCAGCCAGCCTAGATTTACAGCTTGGCTTCGCCTGGGAATCTCCAAGCTCAGCACAAGTAGCAGCCATCTCAGACTGCTTTACAGCTCAGGCAGGGTGGCCCTCAACAAAACACAGGTTGGGGCTGACCCTGGCCCTTACCACCCGGGAAAACCCACGCAACCAGTGGACAGCTACAGACCACATCAGAGCACCACCACCTGCCCCCTGCACAGCTGATCCTCCATGGAGGGCGGAGGTGGGTGGTCAGTGGTCACAGCCATCCTTGCAGCTGACTGGCCTGGGTAATCCCTCCCATTGACCTGCCAACAGCACCCAAGTCTCAGCTACAAGGGGAGGGTGTACTCAGGCTACATGAAGGGTGCACCTCAAGTACCCAGTTTGGAGGATAGGGGAGGCTAAGCCGCTGGACCCTGCAGGACACCTACTACATTAGGCCATGCTACCAAGACATGGAGTCACAGCAGCTCTACCTGACACATAGAAACAAACACAGGGAGGCTGCCAACACGAGGAGACAAAGAAACATGGCCCAAATGAAAGAAAAGCTCAAAACTCTAGACAAACAGCTAAACAAAGTGTAGATAAGCAACCTATCAGATGCAGAGTTCAAAACACTGGTCTTAAGGATGCTCAAGGAACTTAGTGAGGACCTCAGCAGCATAAAAAAGACCCAGTCAGAAACGAAGTTTACACTAATAAAAATAAAGAACAATTTACAGAGAAACAACAGTAGAATGGATGAAGCTGAGAATCAAGTCAATGATTTGGAACATAAGGAACCAAAAAAACAACCACACAGAACAAGGAGAGAGAAAAAAATTTTTAAAAATGAGGATAGTATAAGCAGCCTCTGGGACAACTTCAAGAAGTCCAACATTTGCATCATAGGGGTGCCAGAAGGAGAAGAGAAAGAGCAAGAAATTGGAAATCTATCTGAAAAAATAGTGAGAGAAAACTTTCCTAATTTGGTGAAAGAAGATGCCCAAATAAGATGGATGTCAAGAGGCCCACTCATCATAATTAAAATGCCAAAGATTAAAGATAAAGAGAGAATCTTAAGAGCAGTAAGAGAAAAGAGGTTACTTACCAATAGGGAAGTTCCCATAAGATTGTCAGCTGATTCTTCAAAAGAAACTTTGCAGGCCAGAAGGATTGGCAAGAAGCGTTCCAAGTCATGAAGAGCAGAGACCTACAGCCAAGATCGCTCTACGCAGCACAGCTATCACGTAGAATCGAAGGGCAGGTAAAGAGCTTCCCAGAGAAGAAAAAACGAAAGGAGTTCACCATCGCCAAACCATTATTACATGAAATGTTAAAAAGACTTATTGAAGAAGAAGAAGAAGATCAAAACTGTGAACAACAAAATGGCCCCAAACACGTATCTATCAACAACTGAATCTTAAAAACAAGCCAAGCGAACAAGAACAGAGACAGAATCATGGATACGGAGAGCGTTTTGATGGTTGCCAGATGGGAGTGGGGTGCGGGGGACGGGTGAAGAGGTCAGGGGATTAAGAAGTACAGATAACTCGAACCAAAGTGTTGCAGGTTCGATTCCCAGTCAGGGTACATGCCTGGGTTGCAGGCCACGGCCCCCAGCAACCGCACATTGATGTTTCTCTCTCTCTCTATCTCCCTCCCTTCCCTCTCTAAAAATAAATAAATAAAATCTAAAAAAAAAAAAGAAGTACAGATAAGCAGCTACAGAACAGCCGTGGGGATGTGAAGGGCAGCGTAGGACACGGAGCCGTGGAAGAACCCTACGCACGGCCCATGGGCAGGAACCTTGGTGGGGGGATGGCCTGAGGGTACAGTAGGAGGTGCTGGGTTGGGGGGGGCAAGGGGGAAAACCAGGACAACTGTCATAGCATAATCAATAAAATATAATTTTAAAAAGAAAAAAAGAAAGGGTATCTGATTCTCTTTTTTCCTTATTTTGTAGTTTTGGAGAATTCTTCTAGTAATAGTAAAGGCGTTTCCCTACTGGAAAGCAACAGAGGGTGACGAGAACCTGCCGGGGCGGGGGGGGGGGCGGGCCTTGGGAAGCAGCTCAGTCAGTGGGTTGGATTCCCCGACGACATGTTCACTCTGCTGGAGACGCCGTGGAGAGAACGAAAAGACGAACTTAGACCAGGAGGAGATATTTACCGATCACGAGTGTGACGAAGGACTCGTGAGCAGAATGTATAAAGAAGTCGCAAAACTCAATGTTAGGGGTTGGCAATGGTTTCTTAAAAAGGACTCCGAAGGCACACGCTACCCGAGAAAAAAGAGGGAAATTACACTTCATCGAAATGACAAACGTTCATTTGTCAAAAGACACTCAAAAAAGTGACAGAAGACAACCCACAGAATGGGAGAAAATGTTTGCAAATCACAGATAATACCAGGGGCTAGTATCCAGAATGTATTTTTAAAACTCCTACAACTCAAAGAAAATCAACCCAATGGGGACATAACCAAAAGATGTGAATGAATAGACATTTCTCCAAAGAAGATCGACAAAGGGCCAACGAACTTGTGAAAAGGTGCTCCGCATCATTAGCCAGGAATTAGAGAAATGCAAATAAAAACCACAAGGAGTACCACTTACCACTTCACACCTACTGAGATGAGTATAATTTTTTAAAAAGATTTTATGTATTTATTTCTAGAGAGGGAAGGGAGGGAGAAAGAGAGAGAGAGAGAAACATCAATGTGCAGTTGCTGGGAGCCGTGGCCTGCAACCCAGGCATGTGCCCTGACTGGGAATCGAACCTGCGACACTTTGTTCGCAGCCCACGCTCAATCCACTGAGCTACGCCAGCCAGGGCTAAGTATAATTTCTTTTTAATTTAAAGGTAAAATAATAGAAGTTAGCGAGGATATGGAAAAGTTGGACCCCCTCGCCCCCCACATTGCCGGTGAGGCTGTAAAAGCTGCAGCCTCTGTGTGGAACAGGCTGGCGGTTCCCAAAGCGTTAAGCAGAGCCACCCGGTGCCTCATCAGCTGCATTCCCAGAGAAACTGGTTCCGAGAGACACTGGTTCCCAGAGAAACTGGTTCCGAGAGAAACTCGTTCCGAGAGAATCGAAGACCTGTGTTCACACGAACACTTGTGCAGGAACGTTCACAGCATCGTTGTTCATCGGAGCCAGAGAGGGAAGACAACCCAAATCTCTATCAACTGGTGAACGAACGAGCAAGATGTGTCCCGTGCGGACAGGGGACTGTCACTCCTCCTGAGAAAGGAATGAAGTGCGGACCCGCCACGCCCTGGCTGACTCTCGGAAACCAGATACAACAGGACGAGTATCGTGTGATTCCACTGACGCGAAGTATTCAGAAGAAGCAAATCCAGAGGGACAGAAAGCACCTTCGTGGTGGCGGGGGGCTGGGTAGATGGGGGAAGGGAGACTGATCGCTGAAAACCGGATTCCAGCGAGCGGTGCGCTCAGCATCGAGCTGCCCTGTGAACGCAGTGAAACTCACAGCAGTGCATACTTTAAACCGCGGCATTTTAGGGTAGGGAGATTATTTCTCGGTACTGATGCTGCATTTCCAAATTACAGGATCCAGAATCATCCCACCCCACTGATATCACAAACCAGTGCCCAGGAGCCCCTTCTGTGTGCTGGGCCACGGGCCGGATGCTCTGAGGAAGGAGCGGTGAGACTGGATGGTCTAAAACGGGGCCTGGTGCTGAGCGGGTGGGTTAGAGAGGTCCACATTGGAATCCACCGATTAGAATCTTGGGATTGCCCTTGGGCTCCTTGCTCCCTTCCCGATCTGTCACGTGGGGATCACGCTTAGCCCTTCTCTTGGGGGGAGAAACCGGCCCGCGTGCGGGAAGCGCTCGGGACGCGCTGGGCGCCGCAGCCGGTACACCCGAGCCGCGGTGGCCCGTGGACTGTCCTCCCGTTTTTCAGCTGCGAGCACAGACGCGGCGGGAAGAGAAATCCCAGGTCGCCCGGGGCGAGTCGGGGTCTCAGGTTTCCGGCGGGAAGGGTTGGCTCCACCCGGAAGTCGTGGAAGTCCCGAGAGCTCCGCCACCTTGAGCACGCGCGCGCGTCCCGGCGGTTGCCTAGCAACCTCCAGCTGCGACCCCGCGGGGCCATGGAGGTGCCCGGCGGGACCAAGGAGGGGCGGAGCGGGACCACAGAGGCGCCCGTCGGGACTGTGAGCGCCGCGGTCCAGGAGCACCTGCGGCAGTTGTGTCTGCACGAGTTTCCGTGTGGCGCGGGCAGCTGGGTGCGGGCGACGGCGGGAAGGACCTGGGGGTCGCTGGGGACCAGCGGGCCAGGCTTAGAGACTGAGAGCCGGGCCAGGCAGGGCAGAGGGGGTGGGCCTGGGGACGCCCTAGAGAGGGCTGGGATCTGGGCTCGCCCAGTACTACAGTGATTACTCTTCCTAAAGATAACAGGTTTAGGGAGGGACCTGTCCTGGGGTGGGCGCAGGGTCATAGCTATGGCCCCCCTGGGCCCGCCGGAGTTGAACACATCCGCCCCTCTGGGGAGGGCCTCTCGCTGCCCTAGAGACACCAGGAGACGAAGCCAGCGGTTGGGTTCCCCATGGCCAGAGGGGCCGCGTCTCCAGCTAAGTGCCTGTGGCGGGGAGGAGGAGCGGGGCCGCGAGAGGGGGTCCCCAAGTGTGCGGGAACGTCCTGAGGCCGGAAGGGCAGCAGTGGGAAGCCGGACCCCACACCCTCCCCAGCGCTCAGGGGAGCCGCCTCCTTCCGAAGTGTGTGCAGTGGCTGACCCCGGACCCGGGATGGTGCTGGGCTTCAGGGTTTCCAGACGCCGCTCCCGGAGGAAGGAGAGGGAGAAAGGAAACTCGGGGACAAATTCGCCCGTCTTCCACTCACGGGGGTGGAGAGGCTCTGAACTCACCTTTCAGCCTGGCCTTCCCTCCTTCCCCGATGACGCCCCACAGGCCGCCGTTGGCCCCCTGGCTTCTAGGACAGAAGTCTTCCCTGAAGTGTCGGGTCACTTCCACTGGCATCTCCCAGGGCCCCAGCTCAAGAGCAAACTCCTGAAGGCGGGAATGTTCTTTTCCTTATTTTTGAAGTTTCTCTTGTCTGTCGTGGCATCGTGGATGCCACGGCTGGTAATCAGCCAAAAGCACCGATTACTCATCTAAACGTTTGAACTCTTTCTTTTTTAAAGATTTTATTTATTTATTTTTAGAGAGGGAAGGGAGGGAGATAGAGACAGAGAGAAACATCAATGTGCGGTTGCTGGGGGCCATGGCCTGCAACCCAGGCATGTGCCCTGACTGGGAATCGAACCTACGACACTTTGGTCGATAGCCTGCGCTCAATCCACTGAGCTACGCCAGCCAGGGCTAAATGTTTGAACTCTTCATCCCTGGTTGTCCTGTTTTACATGCTGTTCAGTCCTGAGACTCTCGTCTCCTTGGGAGGACTGAGTCACAGAGAAGTTCTCCGCCTCCACCTCTGCAGAACAAGTCGCGCTTTCTCCCCCGAGCGCGGCGCACGTGGAGGGAGCTGACCCCCAGAGAGGAGGAGGCCGCGAGCCCCGCGGAGGAGACGGTGGAGGACCTGCTGGGCCTGGTCTGCAGCCCCCAGTCGCCCTGGGCCCTGCCGGAGGACTCCAGCGCGGAGGACCGGTTCCTGCGACAGCTGGCCATCCGGAACCCCCTGATGCTCAAAGACACCTTCTTGCACTCCTATTTCCGGTCCCTCCGGGTGGTGGACAAGCAGGTGAGCGCGGGGGCGTCCGGAGGCGATGGGACAGCATTCGGGAGGACCTGGGTGCTGAGTGGGAGAGCCCCGGGACAGCTCCACCCCGTTTCTGATTCATCTCACGCACTGGGCTACCGCGCAGGGCGAGCCGCTCACCTGGTCTTTGTTAACTAGCTTCTGCCCGCACCCCGGGCGGGAGGCCACGGTGTGTCTGAGAGAGCTGGTTGTGGAGCGCCCTGCCATCGGCCCTCCCGGGTCCAAGTAGAGACAGCTCAGAAGTTCATGCTGGTTTCACTTCATTTCAGCGGTGGGGGCAGGCTCCGGGGGGACGCGGCACAGCACCGTAGTAGTTGCTCTTCCTAAAAAGCCTTCTTTGCTTATATCAGTACCAAAGCCCAGACCTTGCATGGGGACGCGGCCTCTGACTTCCCGAGTTTGCGTCCCCTTTCCCAGAGAAACTGGGTGACACAGAGTTTGGGGGACGGGAAGGGGGAGCAACCAGTTTGCCTGGGACTTGCCCGGTGTTAACAGCGACCTTTCATGCCCCTGGAACCCCTCGGTCCTAGGCAGGCCGGCAGGGTCGCCACCCTAGAGAGGAGAGGCCAGCGGGAAGGGCCCCGATGTCCTTGACGCCACGGGGAGCTGAGGACTCAGGACAGGCTCTGGTTGGTCTGGCTCTGCCGTGTGCGAACCACGGTGATGCCTGAACAGCCCCAGGTTCCCCGCGGCTCTGCGGGGGACAGCCACGGAGAATGGGGCTCCTGCCCTTGGGGACTCCCAGCCCAACGAGGGCCACAGGTCACCGAGCCGGAAATGGCCCGACACCCCAAGTCGGGAGTGGGGAGGGCTGGAGAGGTGAGAGGTCAGCGCCACGCCTGAGACGCGAGGGCCCTGGCAGCAGGAGGCAGGAAAGGCTCACGGGGAGGGCGGGGGTCGGGGTGCTGCGAGCCCACGGACAAGCTGTCGCCATCCTCACGGCGACTGCGGGGCGCTGCTCCGCGCTGCCTCCCGCGGCCGAGCTCCTGGCACCCCCTCCCTGCTCTCCAGGTGAGCCTGGTGGACAGGGGCCTGCTGAAGTTCCCGCGGCTGGAGGAGTTGGTGCTGAGCGCCAACCAGATCAAGGAGGTTGCCGCCGCCAATCTGCCCCCGACCCTCAAGGTAAAGCAGGCCAGGCCGAGCTCAGGTCTGTGGCGGTGGTGGGGGGCCTGCCCCGCGCCCGCCGTGTGGTGGCGGCGGGTGAGGCCCGGCCCCGGGCCCTCCGGAGGGGGGCCGGGTTCCTCAGAAGCAGAAGCTCCGTAGACTCGGCGATTCCCTTCCCAGGTGTGGACAGAGCCCGAAAGGAAGGCAGGGACTCCAGTTCGGGTGCGCCAGTGTCCGCGGCAGCGTCACTCACGACCGCCAAAGGGCGGGGACAGCCCCGGTGTCCACCCCCAGACGGGTGGGAAAGCACACTCGGCCCCTCCCTGCAGGGGCCTGTGATTGGGTCACAAAAAGGGGTGACCCAGGCCACACCGTTCACGAACCCGAAAATGTGACGCTGAATGACAAAGGCCAGACACGGGAGGCCACGTGTCGGACAGTGCCGGCTCCGTGAACTGTGCAGAAGGGACAAACCCAGGGGGCAGAAACTCGGTGGGAGGTTACCAGTGGCCGCGGGGGTGGGGGAGGGGCCACGGGGCACCGTGGCTTCGTGGGTCAGAGTGTCTGTCTGGGGCGATGAGAAAACTCAGACGTAGGTCGTGATGATGGCCACACAACAGTGTGCATGAACTTAACGCCGCTGAGTTTGACCCTGAAAGTGTTTCGAACGGCAGAGTAGGTTAGATGCATTTCACCACCGTAAAAGATTGTTTAAAAATCAAGGCAGGCCAGGCTTTTTCATAAGTCGTAGGCTCAGCATAACAAAATGGTCTCAATTTTATCTTGTTTTCATTTAAATTTTATTTTCCAATTATAATTTAACTTGGACATCAATTTTGTTGGTGGCAGGTGCACAGCACAAGGCTTAGACAATCATATGCTTTACAAAGAGATTCCCCCGGTATGTCCAGGACCCCCTGGCCCCACACAGAGTTACTGCAGCATCACTGACCGTATTTCCTCTGCTGGGCTTCACATCCCCTTGACTGTTTCGTAACTACCAATCCGTACTTCTTTTTTTATTTCGATTTTATTTATTTATTTTTAGAGAGAGGGGAAGGGAGGGAGAAAGAGGGAGAGAAACATCATTGTGTCGTTGCCTCTCTTGCGCCCCCTACTGGGGACCTGGCCTGCAACCCAGGCGCCTGCCCTGACTGGGAATCGAACCAGCAACCCTTTGGTTTGCAGGCAGGTGCTCAATCCACTGAGCCACACCAGCCAGGGCCAATCTGTCCTTCTTAATCCCTCCAAAAACGGTCTCAGTTTTACACCGAGTGCCGAGATTAGTAGGTTTCGTGGCAGAGGGACTGAGAACTGGAGCTCAGGGCCATGTTCACGAAAACACCAGGCGAGGCCTCAGAGGTGGGAACCAGAGCCCCTGCTGTTTTCCGTCCAGGTAGGTTCCTCTGGCTTTTCCAGGTGATACGGAGCCCAGGTCCGGCTGCCTGCTCTGCAAAAGCCAGTGATCAAGAGACAGGGCGCCCTGGCCAGGTAGCTCCGTTGGTTAGAGCATTGTCCTGAGACACCAGGGTTGCAGGTTCAATCCCTGGTCAGAGCACATAGACAAGCAACCAGTGAGTCCTGACCAGTGTCGCTTGGTTGGTTGGGCGTCATCCCACAAGACGAAAGGTCGCCGGTTCAATTCCTTGTCAGGACACACGCCTGGGTTGTGGGTTTGGTCCCCACTCGGCCCATATGGGAGGCAACCAGTCGATGTTTCTCTTTTCATTGATGTTTCTCTCCCTCTCTCCCTTACCCTCTCTCTAAAAACAAATAAATACAATCTTTTTTTAAAGATTTTATGTATTTATTTTTAGAGAGGGAATGAAGGGAGATAGAGAGAGAAAGGGAAACATCAATGTGCGGTTGCTGGGGGTTATGGCCTGCAACCCAGGCATATACCCTGACTGGGAATCGAACCTGCGACACTTTGGTTCGCAGCCTGCACTCAATCCACTGAGTAAATAAAATCTTTAACAAAAAAATAAAATAACTAAGTAAGCAAGCAACCAACCAATGAATGCATAAATAGGCACAACAACAAATCGATGTTTCTCTCTCTCTCTCTCTCTCTCTCTCTCTCTCTCTCTCTCTTCCTCCCTCTCTTTCTCTAAAATCGATACATTAAACAAGGGGGAGAGAGACGGCTGGCAGGAGGAAAGCAGTTTTATTCAGGCAGCCTGAGAAGATCGGACACCCTGGTCCCCGAGACCGTCTTTCCGCCTCGGGCGGAGGGGTGGGGGGAGCAGCACACGCGGACCCCGGGGAGGGGGTGGGGAGGCTCCCCGCGCGCGGACCGGCCCCGTCCACTCCGATAAGGATCTCCAGGCTCCCGACCGTACGTCATTCTGGCTGCGCATTGTTCTGGTTTTATGTCATCCTGGTTTGGCGGTTGGAGGTCACCAGATGTCCCAGGGCTGGGAGGCCCGAAGGTCGGAGCCTGCTTCTTCTGAAGCCAGTTCCTAGAATTCTTATATAAGCACGCTGTTTATCTGTAAGCTGCGTGTTAGTCTGACTCAGCACCGGCAGAGACGCTGTGGAAAGGAGGGTGGGTGGGTCGCACGTAGACATGGCCGCGGAGTTGCCAGAGTCATCACGCATGTCCCCTCCCCTGCGCTCCAGCGTCACCTCCCGTCCCCAGTGTTAAAGTTTCCTTCCCAAAAGAAAACGAAACTTTCCAATACGCGCCGCAGGAACACGTCCGTCCCGGACTGGCACGAGGGAGTCCAGGCGGGGTGGGCGGGCCCGGCGCCTCGGACCGGCACTTCCTCCGCCGCGGGCCCCGGCCGAAGGAGGGGCTCACCGGCGCCCCGCCCGCCCCGCAGGTGCTGGAGCTCTACGACAACGCCATCACCAGCTTGGAGAGCCTGTGCGCCCACCCGCCGCCGGCCCTCCAGCACCTGGGGCTGGGCCACAACAAGCTCCTGGGCCCCCAGCAGAGTCTGTACCTCACGGCCGAGCACTGGTAACGCGGGAGCCCCACGAGGCAAGGGGGCAAAGGGGCTTGGGCGTATGACCCTGGGGGCCTGGAGGGCCCGGCTGTGCTCTCTGCTGGAGTAACTCCCGGTCGGCTGCTCACTCAGTCGGTGTTTCCGACCCGTGGGTGTTTCCGGAGACTGGTGTCTCCGACCCAGTAAGAGCGGCCCCACGGAAGGCCGGGAGGGCCAGAGCGTCGCCGGGCACAGAGCGGGCCCGGGGCCCTGGCGCTGCCGTCATGTGCGCTGCAGACCCGGCGGTTCCCCGCGGGGGGCTACCCGGTGCGCCGCAGGAAGGCCGCCGGCACCCTGGCCTCCCCCCACTGGAAGCCAGTAGCACCTGCCCCACACCAGCTGTGACAGCTGCCGTGTCTCCCGTGGCTCCCACGGGGGACAAGGCCGCCCTGAGCGGGGCACCGCCGCCCCCCAAACAGCCCTCGGTGGGACTCTGTCTCCTCGGTGGGCAAAACGTGGGAAACCGACAACCCGGGGCCTGAGGGCAGAGGTCAGAGGCCGCCCGTGAAAGGCCGTCGGAGGCAGCGGCCCGGAGGCTTGTCAGAGCGGGCTGGGCGGTGCCCTCCCGTGGGCCGTGGTGCACTGTGGTCCCCCCCTCGTGGCCCGGGGGGGCGGTGCAGAGGGCATCGGTCAGCGTCACTGCCCGGCTTTCCCACGTAGCCGGGCAGCTCACTCCCAGCGGGTCCCTCTCCGTGACCGGCACTGCTGCCCACGCCCCCTCGCCGCCCTGGGCCGTGCTCGCGTGATTCTCCCACGGACCCCGGCTGTCGGGTCGTAGCTCCGGGAAGAGACGCACTTGGCCTGCAGCCAGGACCATGGACAGTACCAGGTGCTCCGGCGTTTTATTGGGAAAATAACACTGTGTGTGAACCTAGGTAACCTTCGTAGTGCTGAGTGTGGGCTTCATACAAACATAGAAAGCCTCCATCCTTCACTGTTTCGAAGTTGAAAGGGAGGCGGACACCTCGTGACGTGACTTCGTGGACGCTCCCCGCCCCCGTCCTGTGGACGGGCGCACTGTGGGTGGAGGCTGTGCGCTCCCCACGGACCGGCCGGCCAGCAGGAGCGTCTCGGGTTGGGGGCCCCAGAGACAGCGCCGAGGAAGCGTCTCCCCGTCCCTCTCCCCTCCCTGCTCAGAGCCGAGTTCGGTTTGCTTTCCAGTCCGTTTGGCCCTGGGGGGGGGCCGCCCTGCCCCTGCTGGCCCTCCACCCCTCCCCCGTCCTGCACCCGCGGCCCGAGAGATGGACGCAACGGCTTCCGGTGGTCAGCTGCCAGCCGGCTGTGGAAAGTGTCCTCCAGCTTCCGGACCCCTCACGGCTCCTGCATCTCCTCCCCTGTCCCCAGACCACCTGACACTCTGTCCCCCACCCAGTGCCCCTCCCCAAAGGGGCTTTGCTCTGCCTTCCTGGTCAGTCAGCCTTCGTCCAGAATCTTCTAGATACACAACACCGAATCAGTTCCCCGGGAGCTGCCGAGTCATCTAACCTGCCAGAGGGGACCTGTGTCAGCAGGAGTCAGGCAGAGGCAGGATGTGACAGGGCCACCTCTGACCTGCGGGGTCGGCAGTGCCACAGAGTGCGGGCAGGAGAGCCAGGGGGGCCTTTGCTGTGTGTGGGGGGGCTAACTCGGTCAAGGGCACCCGAGGCGGGCCAGTCACGAAGGCCAGCCCCCCCTCCCCTCAGCACCAGGCCTCCTGTCCACCCGGGACCTGGAGTGTGGGGCGCTGGAGGCCGGGCGAGCAGGCCGGTTGGACCCCTCTGCTCACCTTCCAGGCCCAACCTCGTGTCCCTGGACCTGAGCTTCAACGACCTGATGGACCTGCAGGGCATGGTGGCCAGCCTCAGCACCCTGCAGCGCCTGCGGCTCCTGGTGCTGCAGGGGAACCCGCTGGCCCTGGTGCCCTACTACCGCGGCTTCACCATCGACAGCCTGGCCCGGCTCTGCGTGCTGGACGACGTCACCGTGTCTCCCACCGAGAAGTACCAGTTCCGGGGGCTCCGCACCAGGGGGGGTGAGGCGGCCGACACGCCCACCCACCACATTTGTGGGCGGGCTGTCCCCACAGCTGCCTGGCGGGCCGGGACCCTGGTCGGGCGGGGCTCACCTTCTTTCTCAGTCCCTCCCAGATCCGATTCCTGTGATCGCGGTTTGGGGCCAGAAGGGCTAGGGCGGCTGGGGCCTCCTCAGTCCCGTCCCCTCCCAGGCCCAGTGGGAAGCATGCTCAGCGCAGCGTCTTCCTTCATGCCCACGGTGGCTCGACATCACCCCCTTGTGGCTGCAAGCTGCACCCGCGCCTTTTCCAGCACCCCAGCCGGGCAGCGGCTATCATTCCCATTATGCAGATGGGGACGCAAGGCCTAAGAGGGGTGCCAGCCAGAGGGGTGCCCCCGCCCCCCCCACCCCCCGGTCACTGCAACTGAGCCAAGCCTGCAAACTGCAGGGCTCCGCCCACACGGCGGCCCGGGGCTCCCGCCTCCAGCCCCGAGGCGCCCCTCACTCTTGCTGGTTGCCCCCCCGCCCCCCCCCGCAGACCTCTTGGCACCTGAGGCGCAGCTCGTGGTGACGATCGGAAACGTCAAAGGGGTCCCGGACACCTCGGTCCTGGACCCGGAGCCGGGGCCGCAGGGCCCCATCATCACGTACAGCTACTACGTGACCTACGACTTCGTGGAGGATGAAGGAAGCGAGAGGGACGAGTTCCCGGAGGTGCTGGCCGAGGTGCGCGCCCCGGGCCGCCCCTGAGAACCGGGGCGGGGCTCTGCGCAGGCGCATGACTTCTCGGGCCCGGGAATGCCCTGAACCTGAACTCCGAGCCCGAGTTGCCTTTCTCCTAACTGAAATGACTCCCAGCCACTCACCCGTCTGTCCCCTCAAAATAAGAGCAAAAGGCCTAACGAGGGAGCAGCCCAGGCTGTCACCCCCAGACTGACGGCTCCCGGCGCCCCCTGCAACCCGGCCCCCCCTGCCCCCATCGGGAGCACACCCCGGGCAGCCACCGGCCCGGAAGGGAAGGGTGGGGAGGCCCGGCCCCAGCCCCTGCACAGCTGGTGCTGTTCCCACTCCTCGCAGAAGAGACCAGACCGGCTCCTTTACCCTCCTGAGTTCCCGCGTGTGCCCCCGCTGAGGCCCGCCCACCCACTCGGACGCCGCATCCGCTCGTGCACACCCAGCCTGCGTGGGCGGGAGCCGGGCTTGCGGCCCCGCTGGGTTCTCTGCTCCTCGTGTCTCCTCTGGCAGGTCTTCCAGGCCGAGCCCAGCCAGGAGCAGCTGGGCAAGGGGGCTCCCGAGCAGGCCGCGGGCTCCGAGGAGTCTGTGCCCATGTCCCTGTGCCCGTCGGCAGAGCTGGAGGGGTCCACGGTCTCGGCCGGGTTTTCGTCCCTGCCCAGGTCCACGGACTCTGCACAGGACCTGGCCCAGCTGCGGCCGAGAGTCGATCCCCGGCTGTTCCCGTCCCCGGGGTAAGGACGGGGCACCGCCCCTCCCCCGCCCGTCCTGACAGCCGGTCGCCCCCTGGAGCGTGTGTGGGGGCCACGGAGCCGCCCCCCCCCCAGCTCGGGTTCAGCGCTCGGCTCCCTTCCCTCAGCCCTACCCTTCCAGCCCGAGGGCGGCTGGACCCCCTCCCCTGAGGCTGGCCTCCCGTCGTCACCGAGCAGAGAAGGAGGGCTCAGCGCCTCTCTTTCCCGCCTCAGGGGTGGAAACCGGCTCTCCCGTTTTACGGCTTTAGTTCGTGGGGGTCTTATCCCGACGTCTAGTGGGGGTTTGGGGCCCCCCAGCCGAGTGCCAGGTTCTTCCTGCCTTCCCGAGCAGGCCCACTCCGCGGGCTCCGCCCCGTCTGGGGGGGGGGGGTGTTCCCCGATCAAGAGCCTTTTTGATGGTGACTCTTACAGGAACTTCGAGTCAGGTCTCCTTCAGTATGGAAGCTCTAGGGACTATTTTGTACTCATTTTAAAACATGGAGCTTTGTTTGTGTCCTTTTTTAAAAAAGATTTTATTTATTTATTTTTAGAGAGGGAAGGGAGGGAGAAAGAGAGAGAGAAACATCAATGTGCAGTTGCTGGGGGTCATGGCCTGCAACCCAGGCATGTGCCCTGACTGGGAATCGAACCTGCGATGCTTTGGTTTGCAGCCGGCGCTCAATCCACGGAGCTACACCAGCCAGGGCTTGCTTGGGCCTTTTTTTTTTTTTTTTTTTTTACGAACGCCCTGACATCTGCATGTGTGGCTGTGTCTTCTGACCGGTGTGCGGGGACTGACCCGTCACCCAGCTCAGCCGGTGGCCTCCCACAGACCCTGCCGCCTGCGCCCTTGGGGAGCTGCAGGAGCTAGCTTCTCTCAAAGTGTGCAAAAAATTTATTTATTTTTTGTAAATTATTTAAAACCTCATCTCCAAGGAAATGATGCAGGCTCATTGAGAATGTGGGGGAGCTCAAGCCGCCCCCCTCCCTGGTGCTGGTGTCCCCCGGGGGGACACAGAGAAGACAGTGACGGGCCAGCCCATCGCCGCCGCGGGCTGACGTGGTGGTGGTTGTAACTTTTGGAAAAGGTGAACAAAACAATAAGAGCCACAAATAATTCCACCACCTCAAATGTTATGTGAATTGGGAAAAGGTTATTTTGCCCGTAACGGGCACGATTCTGGGTCTCCAGGCTGCAGGCGACAAGTGAGACAGTCCTTGACCTGTCAGCGGGCCCTCGCCCGGCGCGGGAGGGAGGTGACCCAGCGGTAGCTGCGCCTCACGCTGCGCAGCAGCTGCCACCCCGGGGAAGTCCGGGCAGGCGGGCGTGCGCCCCCGAGACGGCCCGAGGAGGAGACAGGTGGCAGAACTTGAGTGTGGGCGGGGGAGGGGGGTAAGGTCGGCCGACGGGAGGCGTGGGGTGGGGGGGGGGGCGCCCGCGCCGGTGTGCGCCTTGGCCGGGCTGTGGCAGCGGCGGTGGCGATGGCCCTCTGAAAGAGACTGAGCAACCGTTGTCCCGGATGCACTTGTAAGCGATATTTAGCACCAGGGCATCACTTGGGCACAACTGAGGGAATCTGAAACAATTGTGCTGCTGCTTTGCTGAAGTTCTTAGACACTCTTGATTCATTTCTGGTCGGTTTCCGCCCCTGTTCTGTGTCCCGTCACACCCCCCCCCACCCCTGCTGAAGGAGGTCCCCCCTCGGCACCCACCGTCCCACTTCCCTCAGGGTGCCTGTGCCCCTTCCTGGCCTCCTGGTCCCCGTCCAGCCGGGCAGCGGTCGGCCCCGAGCCCACGTCGCCCCACAGCGCCCCGCGGCCTGTCGCTGGCCTGGGCGGTGATGCTCTGGGTCCCTGTGCCCTCCCGTCCCCCCCCCCACAGAACCGTCCTCTTCAGCACCTCCCGCAAGCCCTGGGCAGACGTCATCTCCTGCAGCTACGAGATGCAGCACACGCTCCGCGGCCTGGTGCCGCTCAAGGCCTTCCTGCTGGCGGGGACCACGGTGACCGTCGTGGAGGAGAAGGTGGGGGCGCCGGGGTCCCGGCACTGGTGTGCGGCCCCTTCCCGCGTCCGGTTTTCTGGTGCGGCCTCTGTGGCCCTGCTGCCTGGTCTGCACCGTTCCGGAGAGACCCCCCCTCCAGCCCCCGTCAGCCCCAGCTCGGCCGTGTTCCCACGAGGCCACCTTGCTGTCCCCTAGATTCTGTCGTGGCCGGAGGCGCCACCCTCCACGGACAGCCCCTTGCCTGCCAGGAAGGAGAAAGTGGAGAACAAGAAGGAGAAGGAGCAGAAGGGGCAGGAGGGGAAGGACAAGGCCGCCAAAGGGAAGACGGAGACAGCGAAGGTACCGCCGGCCCAGGCAGTGGCTCTGGGTGCGTCCCTGGGGGCCCTGTCACCCTCCTGGCCTCTCCTCGCAGGACCAGAAGGGGTCCAAGAAGAAGAGAGACCCTCCTAAGGAGCTCCACCAGGACCCGCCCATCCTGAAGGTGCTGGGCAGCGGCTTGGTGGCCCTGGAGCCCCTGCTGGTGGGAGAGTCCCTCGTGTCCACCCTATGCAACTTCGGGGTGATCCGTACCTTGGAGTCCGACAGGCTGACATTCCTCAGGGTACTGTGGGGCCCCTGCCGCACCCTCCGCAAGGAAATGGTGCTGGGCCAGGGAGGGCCGTGGGGCCAGGTCGTGGGAGGGGTGGGGCGGAGGGGCTCTGAGCGCCCCCATCCGGGAAGCCCCGGCACTGCAGGGCCCCAGAGTGCCCAGGATGGCCAGGAAGGAGGGGGTTTTCTCCCAAAGTCATGGGGTGGGTGAGGGTGGGCCCGCTCCCCCTAGCAGACCCCGCCCTGCATCTGCATCCACCCCTCCCCCCACACCCCACCCTGTGAGCATCTTCTTTGGTGGTTCTCTGTCTCTCAGGATTCCAGGAGTAAGAAAGCTAAAAAGTGTAAGCATGATGAAGGGGACTGAGGGCCGGGGGCATTTGCTGAGGACCTGTGCCCGGCCACGGGAGCAGCACAGACCCGGCAGCCGTGAACAACAGGCATTTATTTCTCGCAGCTCCGGAGGCTAGGAGCAAGCTGCAGCCGTCAGGTGAGGGCCCCCCTCCTGGTTCACAGCCTCCGCCTTCTCCCGGGGTCCTCGCCTGCAGGCAGGGGCGGGAGGGGCTCTCTGGGCTTCCTTTTGTAAGGACACGAGTCCCATCGTGATGGCTCCACCCTTGCGACCTAGTCACCTCCCAAAGGCCCCACCCACGACCGCCAGCACCTCTGGGGGGCGGGACTGCACGTGCGAATGTGGGGGGCACACACATTGCGGCCACAGCAGGACCTGCAGAGGAGTGAGCCTGTGTGGGAACACAGGGACGGAAGGATGGAGAACCCTATCTTCCAGCCAGTGCGGGGGCCACCCCGCCCAGGGCCAAGTCGTCTTCCCTGTGACCCTGAGACCAGAGCCGCCGGCTGTGGGTCACCCATGGCAGGAGAAGCATTCGGGGCTAGGGACCAGGACAAGGTGGGGTGGGGGACTCAGAGGAGACCCTGACCCGTGGTCCCCTGGCTCAGCCGTCATCGGCTCCTGCTTCCGTTCGTTAGCCCCTATCTGCCCTAAGAGGAGCGTGGACTTGTTCTGTGGGTGGTGGGCAGCCGCCCAGGCGTCTGAAAGAGCTAAGTTTCGGAGTGGAGTGTTGGGACGGCCTGGCTGGGAGGGGGAGGTGGCGGAGAGGGAGGTCAGCGGGAAGGCCGCCGCGAAGTGCAAGGCCAGGCCACAGCCGCAGCAGGCAGAGTGGAAGCAGCCCAGCGCCCGCTGGTGGACACTGGGCAAAGTGTGGCACGGCCCCGCCCCCGGCCCCCTCTACGGCTCAGCCAGGGAAAGGGATGGAGCACTGACTTCCGGCTACTGCAGCGCATGCGCAGATGAGCCTCGAGAACAGGAAGCCGAGTGAGAGAGGCCAGACGCCAGAGGCCGTGCGTGATCACGTTTACGTGAAATGTCTGGAATAGGCCAAGCCATAGAAACAGGAAGTGGATCAGTCAGCGGTTGCTGGGGCCCGGGAGAGGGGGGGCCCGGGGAGAGACCGCCGCTGATGGGCGCGGGGTTTCCGTCCGGAGCGGTGCAGGCGTTCTGGACCGGGGTGGCACAACACTGTGAGCACGCTAGCAACCACTGACCGGTGCACTGAAGAATGGTTAAAACGTTGAATTTTATTCTAACAGGAGTGTAAAGTCGGTATACCACGTAGATGGATAAGGAGACTGAATATCGTTAAGGTGTCAGTTTCTCTGAAATGGATCCATGGGTCTGATGCCATTTCAGCCCTAGTCGCCGAGGGATGGTTTAAAACCAGACACCGGCAACCTGGCTTTGACGTGCACGTGGAGATACAAAGGAGCAAGGACGGGAGAAACGACCTTGGGAAAGCCCAAGGGGTTCACGCTGCGTGGGTCTGAAGACCCTTGCAAACACTGACACTCGAGTTGGGGGACGGCTGTGGGATTAAGAGGGCCTTAGGGTTATTTTTGTTTACATCGACATGAACCTTCTTCGTGTGGGGCTTCACTGAGGATGGCTGCCGTCAGCCAAGTCGCTCCTGGGCCCCCTCCCGTGTGCAGTGTGGAAGTGTAGGAAGGAAATCCAGCCCCCGGCTTTTTGAAGGTCATACACGGCGTGATTCGTGATCAGCCACGTTCAAAGCCCCCGCGGGCTACACTGCATTTTGAGCGGCCGACCCATCCACGCACAGTTCGTAGCATCCGACATCAGTCCTTTGTAAGATGCTGAGTCATGCAGATCTTCCAAGTGTGGACACATGTCATCATCATGCGCCGCCCCAAAATCACGCTCTTTAATGTCACCATCAGTACCGTGAGAAGGGCCTCGGAGTGTGTGGGAAAACCAAGTTCGCAGTGGCAGATACAATGTTCCAAAATTCGGGTTTCTGCTTGAAAGCTGGAGTGTTAGGAATGTGTCAAGGTGCTTTCAGCTGCTTTCCCTGAAGTGCCAGGCTTGCTTCATTCGTTTTTATTTATTTATTTATTTTATTTAAAAAATTTTAAAAAAGATTTTATTTATTTATTTTTAGAGAGGGAAGGGAGAGAGAGAGAGAAACATCAATGTGCGGTTGCTGGGGGCCGTGGCCTGCAACCCAGGCATGTGCCCTGACTGGGAATCGAACCTGCGACACTTTGGTTCGCAGCCTGCGCTCAATCCACTGAGCTACGCCAGCCAGGTTCCTTCGTTTTTTAAAAAGAAACCACCTGCCAAATATTCACGTCTGAACAGCCACAGTCTTGTCAGTGTCTTTTCAAGAGCCACGGTGGGCCCTCGTTCAAAGGCGATTTCGTTTTATTCGATATGACGGAGTCCGAGCCGGGTCGGGCCCCATCGGGACGCTCGGAGGCCGGGCCGGCGTGCGGGGCCGGGCGGTGAGCCCGCTGCCGCCCGCCGACTCGCGCTTCCGTCCTTCGCTCAGGGTTCGTCGAGGGCGACTACCATCCGGAGCCGCTGACGGTGGAGGTGCAGATCCAGCTGACGCAGTGCCGCTCGGCCGAGGAGGCGCTGCGGATCCTCGCCTTGTAGCCGCATTAAAGGCTGTTGGGATGTGACCACCGCAGCTCCGCGTCTGTCTGGCCGCCGCGCGTCGGGGAGCGGGGCGCTGCGGGAGCAGGGCGGCCTCTCCCGGGCAGGCCCGGCCACTCTGCCCGTAGGGCCGGGGCGGGGAGCAGTGGAGACTCCAGGTGGGAGGGGCTGGTCTCTGGAAGCCCCGCCCATTTGAGGGCGTGGCCTCCGCGCAGGGGCCGCCGCCGGGCCCCGCCCACCACCCAGGCCGAGCGAGGTGCGTGCGGCCGGAGCTCCGGGTCTGCGCTCCGCCGCTGGCGCTGCTCGCCTAACCCGTCGCCCGTGCCCGGCGGGCGGCAAGGCTCAGGTAGGTCCTCGAGGCGCGGTTCGTGTCCGGCCGGGACGCCTGGAGCCCCGCTGCTGGGAGGGGCGCCCCAGCTGTCCCGGGGACGCCGGAACCCCCCCGGGCGGCGCAGGGTCTGGCCGCGGCGGGCTTGTCGCTTTCCTCTTTCCCCGCTGTGACCAGAGCGACCGGGCCGGGCGTCGGGGACCGGGCCAGCCCGGGTCTGCAGCCTGGGCCGCTTGCCCCGACGCCTCGACGCGCGGCGCTAGCGGCTCGTGCGCTCAGGCCCGGAGGGGTGTTCCCCGCGGGGCCCCTGGTTCGTGCTTCGCGACCCCACGGCCCCGCAGAGTCTCAAGTGAAAGGACGAGCCGGCCCTCGGCTCTGCCTGGTCGTGACGTGTCGGGTCCCTGGGCCCTGCGAGGACCCGAGGCGGCTGTCACCCCAGAAACCGTTGCAGACCCCTGGGACTCAGCACCTCACTTAGAGGGGGGTCGTGAACTCGCCGGAGCCGGGCGTGGGGGCTCTGCGGAGGGAAGGAGAAGCCGCTCGGCGGGTGCTGGCGAGGAGGCGCGGGTGGGGCGCAGAGGCTGCGGGTCTCCGCGTGTGGGCGGCGGGGGCGGCCGCGAGGCTGGGGCGCAGTGGGAGCGCGGTGGGCAGAGCGCTCGGGCCGCTGAGACGCGCGCAAAACCCTGCCGCTTGCTGTGCGCGCTCCTCGGGGGCTGGCACCGCCACCCGCCCGGGGCGCCGTCCCTCGACCGCGTGCCGTCCACGCCTGAAACCCATTTCCCACACCTGAAACCCACCCGGCTCCTCCGCCGCGCAGCCGCCGCCCTGGCCGCACCTGCGTCCCAGGGCGCGTTTTCGCCGGGGCCCTGCTCCCACCGCCGCCCGTCCGCGGTCCGCGGTCTACCGGGTTGGCGGCGGCGGCGGCGGCGGCTTTCTGAACGACCTCGTTCCCGCCCCCCCTCCTGGGACCCCGGGGGGCCGCCGTCGCCCCGGGCGCTTCCCGAGCCCCTCTCCTCGGCCCGCGCGCGGACTCCGCTGCGCCTCCTGCGGCTCCGTCCCCAGCCTCCCGCACGGCAGCAGCCTCCTGCCTGCCTGCCTGCCTGCCTCAGGAGCCCCGCACCTGGCCGTCCCCGCCGGCTGGCGCGCTGTGCCCCAGACCGCCACGGGTTCGGCCCCTTACTCCACTCAGTTCTTGCTCAGATGTCCTTTATCCGGGTGGGCGCTCTAAACCGGACAACCCCCCGTCCCCAGACTCTGTGACGCTGCTGGAATGCCCTCAGCACTGTCTGGAATTCGTGCTGGTGTTTAGGGTCTGTCCCTCCTCTCGAGGCCTGTGCCCCTGGCCCAACACCCTGGGCAGCTACAGAAGACGCTTCTGTGTGGTGGTGGCGGCGGCGGTGGGAACCACAGGCCCAGGCCAGTGCTGGTAGACTGGATGGACCCGATGGCCTGTCGGGCGAGGACAGTGGGGCCAGGGGGTGAAGAGGGGGTCCAGGGCTGGGCTTTGCTGCCCGGAACCTGGGGCAGGAGCCTCTGCAGGCCCGACTCTGGCATCCTCCCGGGAGTCCTGCCGAGACAGCCTGGAGGCTCCAAGCGGCAGGGGGCCGTCCCGGGCGTCTCCAGCCTTCCCACTGGCCGGCTGCTCCTCCTGCGCCTGCGGCTGGTCACTAACCCCCAGTTCGGCTCCCAGGAAACCCAGGTCCCTTCAGCGGGTGGGCCCTGTGGTGGCTGCCACCGTCTCCTGCTCTGTTGGGGCTGTGACCTGGGTGGGGGTGGCACCCAACACAGGGCCTCCCACCAGCAGACCAGACCCAACTTTTTGGGCATCGTGACTTCAGACACGGGAGCCCGGGATGTCTCGTTTGGTGGTTAGAGTGAATTGTACCCGAAGGTAGACTAGCTCTGTGCCACTTTCACTCAAGGATGTAATTAAGGTACTGGAGTTCCACGGGGAAATGCTGAAAACGCTCACGGCGCCTCCGTTTTAATGTGCCTGCCCGTCATTTTGGGGAAAGTTGACCTAAGCCCTCTGACAGGCAGAGCAGGTGTGCTTGCTCTGTCCTCGCGGAGGACGCCTCGGGAAAGAGCCGGAGAACAGGCTGAAATGAATAATTAAGTCCCCAAGGCCAGCTGGCACTTAGACGCTGGGTTGCGGGTAGTTGTGGCTCTCGGGCCCCGGGGGGTGGGACTGGGCAGCCCACTGAGGCGGCGCCCACTGACGCGCTCTCCCCTTGCAGGCCCCGGCATGCTCCGCAGGCTGGGCTGGCTGGTGCTGTACAGCCTGGCCGTGCTGCTGCTCAGCTGCCTTCTCTTCCTGAGGAAGGAGGCCAAGCCGGCGGGGGCCCCCACGGCCCGCCAGCCCTTCTGGGCGCCCCCGGGGCCCCGCCGCAGCCTGTGTCCACCCAACCACACAGTGACCAACGCCTCCCTGTCCCTGCCTAGCCGTCACCGCCTCTTCTTGACCTATCGCCACTGCCGCAACTTCTCCATCTTGTTGGAGCCTTCAGGCTGTGCCAAGGACATCTTTCTGCTCCTGGCCATCAAGTCACAGCCTGGCCATGTGGAGCGGCGTGCGGCCATCCGCAGCACATGGGGACGGGCAGGGGACTGGGCGAGGGGCCGGCAGCTGAAACTGGTGTTCCTCCTGGGGGTGGCGGGACCCGCACCCCCTGCCCAGCTGCTGGCCTATGAGAGTCGGGAGTTTGATGACATCCTGCAGTGGGACTTTGCTGAGGACTTCTTCAACCTGACCCTCAAGGAGCTGCACCTGCAGCGCTGGGTGGCGGCTGCCTGTCCCCAAGCACACTTCGTGCTAAAGGGAGATGATGACGTTTTTGTCCATGTCCCCAACGTCTTGGAGTTCCTGGATGACTGGGACCCAGCCCAGGACCTCCTGGTGGGAGATGTCATCCGCCAGGCTCTACCCAACAGGAACACCAAGGTCAAATACTTCATCCCACCCTCCATGTACAGGGCCCGCCACTACCCACCCTATGCTGGGGGTGGGGGGTATGTCATGTCCAGAGCCACCGTGCAGCACCTCCAAGCAGCCGTGGAAGAGGCCGAACTCTTCCCCATCGACGACGTCTTTGTGGGCATGTGCCTGCAGAAGCTGGGGGTGAGCCCTGTGCACCACGCTGGCTTCAAGACATTCGGCATACGGCGGCCCCTGGACCCCCTGGACCCCTGCCTGTACAGAGGGCTGCTCCTGGTGCACCGCCTCAGCCCCCTGGAGATGTGGACCATGTGGGCACTGGTGACAGATGAGGGGCTCAGGTGCACGGCTGCCCCCTCGTCCCAGCTCCGAGGGGTGGGTTGAGGAAGTGGGCTGAGTGGGGATTTTCCTATCATGAGAAATCAACAAACTTGAAACTTGACCTGTGACTGTCTACAGGAAATGCTTAGTTTGTGTGACCTCCCTTCTAACTTTGATTAAAAACACTGCAACCTGGCTAACTTGTACCGCACGTGCTGAATGGGAGCTAGGACTCCACGGGGGGTGGGGACTGCTGGAGCCCCCTGGGGCTGGACCAGCCTCGGGGGCGGGGCCAAAGTAGGAGGCTGCCGAGGACCCCAGAAGACACACACATTTTTTTTAAATGCAAAACAACATTCTTCTTCATACACAGTAGAGAAATCGAGGGAGGGGGGCACGAGAAGCGTGTGTTGGCCAGTCCTGCAGAGAGTCTCAGGTCAACACTCCGCATCGTCTCCTAAGAACGGAGGTTTGGCTCCCTGGCCTGAGCTGGCCTGAGCTGGCCTCACAGGGCAGTGGGGCCAGGTCAGAGAAGGCGATGGAAACGCTTACAAAGAAATCGTACAAGCAGGACAGGCCCCCTCTCTCCCTAAAACTCACATCTTTATGGAGGGAGCAAATACTAAACCCTATTTGAAAATTGAATACGGTTGGAAACAGGTTAAAACAGCTACTGAACTTGTGGGCATGACAAAAAAGGACCCCTCTCTCCGCCAGGTTGGTGAGATGCTCTGGGTGGGAGGTAAAAAGGTCGATGGGTGAGAGGACAGCTGTGCTGAGTGGGGTGCAACGGTAAACGGGGTGCTGCGCCCCGGGCTAAGAACCAGGTCCAGTACGAGCCTGAGACCAGGAGGAGGGGTTGGGCACTCACAGCGCACAAGGGCCTCAGGCCGGATGGGCCAGGGCAGGACCTCCCGTGCAGAGAAGGCTGCGCCGAGCCCGGGCGGAGGGGGCAGACGTGGGCCATGCTCAGGCCCTCAATCCTCACGCAGGTAGGCCTCCTGCTCCGGCTCAGCCCTGTCGTCCCCCTCCTGCACTTTCTGGCGGAGTTCTTCTGTCTGTGCTTCTGCCAACTTGGTTTCTGCTTTCTGGGAGAGCTGGCGCACCTCCTGCACCTGCGACTTCACCAGCTGAATGTGATTCCTGGCAGTTATGGAGGCCTGGTCTGCTCCTGCCAAGAGACGGGATGATACGCTGAGCATGCGCACGGGGCAGGTGCGAGTGGACACAAGGACCAGCGCCCGGCGGGCTCCACGGCTGCCATCTGCACCCCCTTGGAGCCCCACGCCCTGCCCGCCCTGCCAGCCTTCTCTCTGCAGAGCAGACAACGCTAATGCCACACTCAGGTCTGCATTTTACTCTTCACTGTCAAAATCCGAGCATTTGTCTCCAGCTCCGAGTAGCTATCATAATTATTAAATGCAATTCCCACAAGGTTTATAAGCTACATAGCTCCTAATATAGATGTTTTATGAATTTGTTTTTTTATAAATTTAAGGTTTTGATTCTGCAAGTAGTACATTTTTTTTTGGACAAAGAGATCAATAATAAAACTGTCAAAGAATTCTTTCCTCACATGAACCAGTCTTCAGATATAACTTCCGCTGGAAGTTTAAAAGGCATCTTATCTTTTAAAATGTGATCCTATACATACAGAATGCTTAGAAAAAGTTACTATAAGTTTACACAATAGCACTAATGGTAATTGTTGAACGTATTTTGCAATTTTGTTTAAAAATGTTTTCAAGCTCTACGATTTTTTTTTAAAGATTTTAGAGAGGGGAAGGGAGGAAGAAAGAGGGGGAGAAACATCAATGTGTGGTAGCCTCTCATGCGCCCCCCACCAGGAACCTGGCCTGCAACCCAGGCCTGTGTCCTGACTGAGAATCGAACCGGTGGTCCTCAGGTTCATAGGCCAGTGCCCAGTCCACTGAGCCACACCAGCCAGGGCACATCCAGAACCTTTCTGAGCCCTTTCGGTCAGTTCTGGGAAATGTGCTTTCCAGGCAGGGCTCACGTGCACTCTTCTGTGTCTCTCTGCCAGCCGTAAGCCTGCCCTGTGAGTGGTGGCGGCGGCCTGGTGAGTCCCACTGAGGCACCCCAGCCCCCCCACTCGCCGTGCCCGGACCCTGCTCCCACCCCCAGGGTCACCACCACCATCATGCTGCTCCCACCACTTGTTTCCCTTTTCACTCCCATCCTGTTGCCACACTCTGATTCTTTGTTGTTGTTGTTGTTTTTACTTAGAAAAAAACCTTTTCTGTCCTTTTTAAGATTTGGTGTTTTAACACACTGGTTTCTTACTAAGAGCTGCTCCTGGCTATAATTTCTGTGAGCCAGCTTTTTGGGAGCAGTCAGGTAAGTGGGGTTTCCCTCAAAGTACATTTAAAAAACTCTTCTGCTTAAGCCCAGTGGATGGACAGTGATGTTCAAAAAACAAAGCAGCCTGCTGAGTGAGTAGCTGCATTTTCTACCCCGAGGCACCAAGGTACGAGCAGGAGGCCCAGCCTGCCAGGCGCAGAGGCGTGAGACCCGGCTCTGCCCGTGTGCCGCCTGCCTCCCGCTGCACAGCGCCCTGGGTGGGTCCCTTAGCCCCTCGCCCCTCGGTTTCTTCACCTGTCAAGTGGGAATCACAACAACAGGTCCTCCTTTAAGGGACCTTTGGGGGTTCAATTAAAAGTGCCTATAAAATGTTTCCCACAAAGCCTGAAACAGACAAATATTAGTCATTCATTAACTAGCTTTTAAAAAATAAAATGCTTAAAAACTATTTGAAGACATTTTCCAATTGGCGGTAGTTTTATCATTTCATTATTTTCCGTCTTCTAGATGCTGACAACCTCGCTTCTGCTGGGCTGGCCTGCAGGGGCAGTCATCTTCCCACCGCACAGGCAGAAGGTTGGCTGGATGCACTGGAGTTGGGGGCCGTCTCTCACCGAGCTAGAGCCACAGCGGGCTCCAGCCCGCCTGGCCCCAACCCCTCATTTTACAGCGCAAAGAACAATGGCGTCTCCGCAGCGAAGACTAACCTACCCGTGTGGTACGCAGCCTCTGCCGCCATCTCGGACAGACTGACCGCGGTCATCCAGGTGGTCTCCAGCTTCAAGTACTCCTGCTGTTTTGAAGTCATCTGCAAGTCAAACAACATGCGTCAGACCCCACGGAGAGGGTGAGCACACGTACACGCACTTCAACACGGAAGATTCCGGGAACAGTTACCGGCCAGACCGTCAGCCCAGTCGTTCAGACGCCACCGTGGGGCTCACCTCGACCCGGGCTCCTATGATCACCTGCCACACCTCGTCCTCCTCCTGCGAGTTCATCTTCCCGAGTAAGTTTGTGTACTGTCGGTACAGAGAGACCAGGGTGTACACGGCCTGCAACCAGAGAGGAAGTCGATGTGAACCAAGCGGGGCGTGCCAGGCAGGGGCAGTAAGGCCGCCGCCTCCGCCTCAGCCACGGCAGACTGCCCTCAGTCCTTCAGCCTCACGGGCGCTGCCCTGCTGTGTGAGGCCGGGTGTCAGTCCAGGATTGTAGCCCCGCTTGTCAGTTTTTGTGTTTTTAAAAGCTTGTTAGTAACTCAGACACAGAGAGAAAACACAATGCAGAGGGCAACTCAGAAAGCTGAGAAAAGAGCTGACGGAAAATACATGTAAAACAGAGGAGGAGAATTTCAAACGGCTGTGACTGCCCAGGTGCCCTCCGTTGGCGCAGGTCAGGGGTGTCCAGGCTGCCCTCGCGGAGCAGCCCGGCACGGCTGCCGGTGCTGGACCCCAGGCCCTTTCCACCCCCGACTCAACCACATCAGCTTGGTTCCCGTCTCATAAACTGGGCCACTACAGGTAAGGTTTTTCTTTTAAAAACCAGAGATTCAGATCAGGGGGTGAGAGTATTTTAGGCTTTGTGGCCCTAGAGTTTGTTGCAGCTATTACCTCACAAGAGCAGGCATCAGACCGGACACGCACTGTGACCCAGCCTGCTCGCTGCCGGTCCAGACCGAGGCTGGACAGGAGGACACTCACCTTGGTGTACTCAGTGATGGCTTCGATCAGCGCATAGGTGGTCTGCGAGAGGAAGGTGGAGGTGCTGTCTGTTACCAGAGACACTGCTCTTCGCATCAGCGCGTCGTTACTGAGAGAATGAGGTTCCGTTTTCTGAAAAGGACACACACATTCTCACTCGGCTCCCAAAGCTGGAGCGGAGGAGGGCGTCACGGCCAGCCACGCGCAAACGTGACTCCCACGCTGCAACTGCACTGCTCTGCACCAGCTGCTGCTTTTAAAGCTTCAGTTTGGCTAAAGATAATTAATAGAAATAATTCGAGAATGTGCTTTCTACCTGCTTTTATTCTTTAGTCTCTACTCCAAAAAGCAAAGTATTTCTTTACATCAAAGGCTAGTAATTACACACAACAAATTTCACGAAGTTATGATTCACTCATCACCACAGGGCTAGAGGCTCAGGATAGAAAGACAGAAAACCACTCTCGCCCTCCAAGACTTGAGACAGGCTGGGGCGCGCAAAAAACGCGACCGTCAGTGCACTCGAGCACCGTGGGAGCCGCGGCCGCAGTCCGCAGGGCTGCAGTCGGGCGTACGCAAGGGGAGTGCTCGCTCCGGTGCTGAACGAGAACAGCTGAGAAAAGGCTCACAGAGTCGAGGACTAAATGGAGAAGAAAGTAAATGGGCGGAGGGGGGAGGGTGACGCTGAGCAGAATGAGCAGCACAGTCTTGGTGGGAAGCCCCACACTCTGACCTCAGCTACTGTGTTTAAAGAAAGCCATTATCACTATCAGACCCTGCCTTTCACTTCCTCAGCAGAGCAGCTGCTGTACTAGCACTAACAAAGAAACCAATCACTCTATCATCTATTGTCTCGTCCTCGCTGCAGTAGTCAAGAGATATCTTTGACAGTGAACGAATCAAGACTTTACTGTATTTCTGTCTCGTGCAACCCGATAATTAAGTATTCTTTGTGTACCGTGCACCGAGGGGCTACGCAGGGAGGAACGACGTTCTCCGGGCTCACGAGAAGGTGCCTCTGACACCCTGATAACTGAGGTCTTCACGGCGCCCGCATCGTACACCCGCACTCACCTGTTCCTCACAACAGCCCGGGGCCACCACTTCCTCTGCCAGGCGAGGCAAGGACGCGCAGGGCAGCCACGTGGCTTCCCCGAACAGTCTCCCATCCAC